CTCGGCTGCTGTCTGCCCGCAAGGGAGCCTTGCTCTACAAACTGCAGGGGAGGTCCAAGATAAATAACCAGGGAAACCTGGACTCCATTCAAACCCCGTTATCGATGCTGGGGAAACAATATTATGATATCAGTCCTTTAAGTGGGAAAACATTCGGGCAAAGCTCCCCTCTTCAAATGCCCATTTCTCACAAACACTATTAATTTGCTCTCGGAATAACCGCAAAAATAAAAAAAAAGAAAGAAAAAAAATTAGGGCCCTCTGCAGCTGATAAACATCAACTAGGCCTGCCAAACTTCCTTGAAACGTAGCCAGGAGCTCGGACTTCAGACTCTGTTTCACTCATTATTATTATATGTTCAGCACAAACAATCGTCATCCTCGTATTTTTGTGGGTTAATCACGCTGGAAATAAAAGCAAGAAGGCAAAGCAACGAGGATTCAAAAACATGGATGGTTGTGTGCTTTATGTTTGATAGCTTAGATTTTTTTTCAGAAAACATATCTAAAACTAATATTCTCTCCCTCCACCCTTTGTGATATTAGTGGGAAGATGCCAGTTGCAGGATTTGGAGCGGGAAGCTGGATTAAAATGGCTTTGGTTGCCTTGGTGTGTGACATATGCCAGGAGGCAGATTTGTGTGAATGCAGTTAGTTCTCTTGAATCTCTCTGTGACTTCTGATGCCACTAATCATGGTATCTCCTGATACTTAGAGGATCACAAACACAAGGACTTTCCCATGGTTTTTTTTTTAAAGCCTTCCTGTGATCGCTGGGTATCATTTCTGTCAAGGTATTGAGATTTAATAGCTGACCAGCTTTTGTAAGGCTGAATGCAATAAGGATGAATCAGCATGGTTATTGCTGCTTTAAGACTGAGGGTGGGTCCCACAGGGTTTTACCACTTTAAGAAGCTGTCTAAATATATACATGAGGCCATGAGAGGGCGTACGTCTCTCTCCTCGTGTTCCATCTCTATTGTGGTTCTCTGTGCAGAGTAATGAAGACTGACTGCTTGCCTGGTATGTTTCTACCATGTATATTTATGTATATAACTGTCTGTATATAAACCATTGTTAAAACACAAACCCTCTGTGTGTGCTGTGCTTTGCTCCTGGGTTGTCTCACAATAGTAGTCATGCTGCAAACACTCGGACGATTTCAGTTGTCTGGGGCTCGGATATCCTCAGAAGGTACTTTCCTACTCCTATACAGGTAGTCCTTGACTTACGACCACAACTGAGCTCAAAATTTCTGTTGCTAAGCGAGACAATTATTAAGTGAATTTTGCACCATTTTACGATCTTTCTTGCCACAATTGCTAAGTGAATCACTGCAGCTGTTAAATTAGTAACATGGTTGTTAAGTGAATCTGGCTTCCCCATGGACTTGCTTGTCAGAAGGTCGCAAAATGGGATCATGTGACCCCAGAACAGCGCAGCCGTAGAAAATACGACATCAGTTGCCAACGGTCTGAATTTTGATCACAGGACCATGAGGATGCTACAACATTGTAAGTATGAAAAATGGTCTTAAGTCCCTCTTTTCAGGGACGTTGTAATTTTGAAAGGTCATTAAATGAATGGTTGTAAATCAAGGACTATCTGAATGTGATATAGTGGTACATATACCGATATTAAAGTGCTGGAGAGTTTCTTCAAAGCTGATGAGACCTTTGGATGTTAATTACTTCAATAATAGGACAGATGAAGTTAGAAGCCACGGTGGCACAGTGGTTAGAGTGCGGTACTGCAGGCTACTTCTGCTGCCTGCCGGCTGCCTGCAGTTTGACAGTTCAAATCTCACCAGGCTCAAGGCTGATTCAGCCTTCCATCCTTCCAAGATGGATAAAATGAGGACAGCTTTAAGACTTGTGGATTTCAACTCCAAGAATTTCTCCTCCAGTCATCTTAGCTCAGGAATTCTGAGAGTTGAAGTTCACAAGTCTTAAACTTGCCAAGTTTGAAGACCCTTGGTCTAAGTGCTATTGGTATTGCTAGATCAACTATCAGGCTCAAAAAAAAACCCCAAGAAAGGTACATCTTCCCTCCCTCCCTCCCTCTCTCTTTATATTATACCACTGTATTACATCACTGTTAACTGAAGTAAGAGATTTCAAAACATATTCTGCCATGAACCGAACACTGATAAGTATAACTTAATCATGTTCCTGTTTATTTTATGGAGACGGGTGTGGTGGTTGCTGATGGCTTTGATCCCTTGGGAAAACTGGAGCAAAAACATCTAATTCATCAATCACAACACTGGAAACCAGTTTCCCTGATCGCTACGTAGGGGACTGATAGGACGGACAGAAGCTTTCAGTACTGCTGGTTAGTGTGTGTTTTGCCATTCAGTCCAATCTGTGTTTGCTTAGGAACGAGGAAACAATTAAGGTGCTCTCCATGAAGTTTGTTGCAAAGTAACCATGCATATAAACACAGCCTGGACTTTTAATACAGAAATATCTCTTGGTTGTTACAGAAGCCAGTTCCTCCAAGTCAAGGGACCAGTTTCAGAAAACTATATGCCGCTTCCCTATGATTAAACTTCCACGTCAACAGGAACCTCAGAAGGCGATGGTAATATTCAGAAAGACCCTCTGCATTAAAGAAAACAGATTTGAGCCCATGAAGGCAACATGGCATAAATCTGACAAATAACAGACTAATAGAATAACCGAGTTGGAAGGGACCGGGAAGGTCCAACTCCCTAGTCAAGCAGGCGAGCCTATACGATTTCATACAAATGGTTGTCCAGTCTCTTCTTAAGAACCTCCAGTGTTGGAGCACCCACAACTTTTGAAGGCTGTTCCACTGATGAATTGTTCTCAGGAAACTTCTCCTTAATTCTAAGTTGGTTTTTGATTAGTTTCCATCCATTGCTTCTTGCCCTCAAGTGTTTTGGAGAATAAGTCAATCCAGTGGTGGGATTCAAATTTTTTTTTACTACCGGTTCTGTGGGCGTGGCTTGGTGGGCCTGGCAGGGGAAGGATACTGTAAAATCTCCAGTCAGAGGGTGTATTTGCTGGTTCCCCAAACTACTCAAAATTTCCGCTACCGGTTCTCCAGAACTGGTCAGAACCTGCTGACTACCACCTCTGATACACTGCTACAAGCAATATCTAAACAAACAGCAATTACAGCAGGAAAGAAACTCAAGGGACCAACAAACACTCTAGCAGGGCCTCCTCTTATTACGCAGGCTCTTAAAGGGATAACAGCCAAAGACCTTCTGACTCATTCCCATCGTTGCATCAGCTGGTCAGCTCTTAAACTATCGCCTTGACAGGGGGAATGAGGTTCCAGAGAGAGGGAACAACCCAGTGGTGGTATTCAAAATTGTTACTACCGGTTCTGTGGGCATGGCTTGATGGGCGTGGCAGGGGAAGGATACTGTAAAATCTCCAGTCACAGGTGATATTTGCTGGTTCTCCGAACTACTCAAAATTTCCACTACTGGTTCTTCAGAACTGGTCAGAACCTGCTGAATCCCACCTCTGAATCCCCTCTTCTCTATGACCAACTCCAGAAGACTGCTATCATATCATCCCTAGTCCTCCTCTTTTTTGGTTAAACATACCCAGTTCTCTCAACAGCTCATTGTATGCCTCTAAGACCTTTATCAACTTCATTGTTCTCCTCTGCACTCTTTCAAGGCCTGGAGCCTGGATCGTGCCCACAAAGTGCTTAGATCTGGCTCATGGGGCTGCCCTGGAAATAGTGAAGGACCGGCCCACAGTGCCAGTGCCAGTGAAAACGGAGCTTGGGAGGGCCCTCCTAAGCTACATATTCAACTGGCAGAGGGTTGCAGGAGCCCATCGCAGCCAAAAACGGAGCTTGGGAGCCCGTTTTCGCTGGCTAGAATGCTTGGGGCGCCCCAGGCACACCCCAGGCACCATGAGTGAGATCGAGCTGACCAGGCCCATCCTGCCATGCCCACCCTGGCCCCCTCATGTCAAACACAACCCTGATGCGGTCTTCAATGAAATCGAATTTGACATCCCTGTTCTAGAGCCTCAACAATGTTTGTATCGTGGTGACCAAAACTGGGTGCAGTGTGGCTTCATGGGTGCAGTGTAAAAGTGGTACCGGTACTAACACTTCACGTGATTTTGATCCTATCCCTCTGGGTGAGGCAGCAACTTAGGAATGCATTGGCCTGATGCTGAAATCTATCATCAACTAATGGAGTTAATTTTCCCCGTTACACATTATAATTGGACTCAAGACAAAGAGGACAAAGTCCAAAAGCTCTTTCCAAGCAGGAACAAAATAAATTGTGTTCCTTTTTTTTAAACTTTAATCAAAGCAGTCAATTCATCCATCTCGGCTAACTCCATCAACAATGAAACCTTGATTTGGGGTTTTGTTGATTACATAGGCTTGCTGTTATAGAAATGGCTGGTATCTATTATTATATAAAAGTAAAAAAGTTGAAGTTTTATGTTACCACCTTACTCTACCGCACCAAAGTCAAACTTTTCTTTTTCCTCTCTATCCTACACTCCCCACCCCCGAATTCCTTCCCTTATTTTCATTTTTCATTGTATTTCTGTATCCTACTTGTTGACAAATGAATAATTTAATTTAATTAAGTTAATAATTTAACATTTAATACAGCACCATTTCTGCTTAAAATGGTCTGACTGAGATCGACATATGCAGGCTTGATTGGGGTAGATTGTAGGGGTGATAGAAAATATAATTTTATGTCATTTTATTCTATTTTACACATTTATGTATTAAATTATTTGTATTTTATCCTATAACTATCGTATTTTATTCTACTCTCATTTTAAATTGTTTGTTTAGAATTTTATTGGTAATATGTGTTTGAATCTGTATGTTGATATGGCCTACAAGCTAATCAATCAATCAATATAAATATATAATAAAATATTGAAAGGAGAAAAAAAAAAGGACTTGAGCAAAGAGGGAAAAAGGGAAAGATTTGACAGTAAGAAAGCAAAACAAGTTTTCAGTTGTGTTTACTATACCTGCAGCAGGACTGTCCCTCCAGGAATTGTGAGCTGTAAACAATACTTTGGGGCGTTTTCCCAAGAGAGCAACTGAGTATCTTCAATTGAACTGTAGGAAATGGAGCTTTCCATGTACCCAGTTGGCTGCAAGAGAGAAAAAAACAAGGAAAAAAATGTGATTCAACGCCACATTTTTAAACGTACCTAACAAGAGTTCCTAATAATGTTTATTCGGTCAAAATTTAAAAATACACAACCCAAAGGTAAAATCCAAGGGGTAAGATAAAATACTAAGATAAAAGGAGTTTCTATCATAACATGCTGTAACTTACGCTAATATGATGGTATGCTAATAAATGTTGCAAGTATAAATCTAAACTGTTAGAATCTATAGTGCAAAAATGTAATATCATCCAAAACAAGATAGCTATCGTATCACTAGCAGGAAGCGATGAACAAAATACAAGTGGTTATTTCTGAAACAAGGCTTAACAGTCAGGCTGTTGCCAAGAATTAACCATTTATCAATATCAAAATGTTTCATTACAATTGAAAATGCTGTGAAAAACAAAATTAAAATCGAGGAACACCAAGGAGTGGGGTAGTGTTTACATTTTGGCATAAAGGTTACATCAACCATGTGTACGATGCAAAATAAATATACCAATTTTTGCACCAAGGCATCTTAAAAGTTTGCACTAAGAAAGAAAGATTTACACAGCTGCAAATTTTATCAGAATGAAGCAGTTACGAAAATATAAACAGACACATAGTGTGCACTTGGGTGTGCAAGAGAGACAGACAAGAGAGAAGTACTCTAGCATAGGGGTCCCCAACTCCTGCATGGTGGCCCACTATCAGCTATTCAACTGACCAGAACCTGGCCACAGAGGTGGAGGGCGGGGAAGTGTGTGTGCACACGCACATCCCCTCTCGTGGAAGCAATGGGCAAACACATGCACATCTTGTTTGCATGACCAGGCGCATGTGCTCGCCACTTGCACAATGGAGCTGTGTGTGTACACACCCACCACGCACACAGAATGATCCCCTCTCCCTCCCCCAACAGTCCGCAAAGACAGAAAAGTTGGGGAACTCTCCTCAAGCACAGTGGTTGCCAACCAGTGGGCCGGGGACCACTAGTGGTCCATGAGAAAATTTTGGTGGTCTGCAGAGAAATGTCACCCCCGCAAACACCCCTCAAAGCAATTAATCCAGGCTGCACGGGAACACGAGGCTGCATCGCCCACATGGCCCGTGGGAACACAAGGCTCGCGTCACTTGCATTGTGAACAACATGAGATAGTGAGGGGAGGGGGGGGAAGGGTGGAGGGGGGAACTTGCCCCACTCACCCCACGTTCCTGGCCTGGCCACGGGGCTGCTTCTTTTCGCTTCTTTCTTCTTCTGCTTTTGGCTGCACGCAAGGAAAGCAGCAAAAGTCTTTCTTTCTCTCCTCCAAACTCCGCCAGAAATGAGTCTTTGGGACCCTGCAAGACCTCCTGCTCCAAGAGGCTGCGTCAGTGAGACAATTCTCACAAAGGCTCATTTCTGGCGAAGTTTGGGGAAGAGAAAGAAAGGCTTCTGCTGCTTCTGTTGCTTTCCTTGCATGAAGCCAAAAGTCTCTCCCTCCCTCCCTCCCTCCCCCTGAGAACAGAGCTGGAGACGGTGCCTGCGATCCCAAATAAAGAATGATCGATCGGTAAGAAAACAAGGTGGGGGATTTTCCTGCAGACTTTTTGGGGGATTTTCCCAGGGTCTCTGGTCTGCAGGATTTAAAATTATGAGTTTGGTGGTCCCTGAGGTCCAAAAGATTGGCGACCCCTGCTCTAGCACATATACACAAACACAAAGGAAGGCCAGTAAATAGCTTGTAGGCAATATAATTGGAATTCTAAAAGAAACTCCCCTCTGCAACCTAAGATTTCTGCATGCACTGCTTGCAGTCCTTCATAAGAACTAGTATCTTAGGGAGAGAAAATTATCAGGGATGTGATTTCTTGCATGTAAAATATCACAGTCTGTTCCTGGGAGAGCTAAGGATGAACCGGATAAACCAACCAGATAAATGTCACAAGAGAGAATCTAAAATTTTCCTGGGGAAAATTTTCCTGGATTACCTTTTCTTCAAAACTATCCACTTGCTGGACATTAGCGTAAAAACAACAAACCAAAAGTGATGATTCTAATGTTAGTTTCCAACAACCAATCAAAGAAAGTGATTTAAAATTGGGGGAAAGAGACCAGGAAGAGATTACGTGCTGAATCTAAAATGTATCTGAAGTTTTGTTTCACCCAGTCAGCTCAGGGAAGCAACTAGAGTGGGAAGCTACCTCCATTTAATAGAGGTCAATTACAGACAAAAACTTCGTAAATATCCTGGAAATCAAAAGGACAATTCTGGAATCTATTCATCCTTTGTGAATCCATTCCAGTATTTCAGAGCAGACGCCTGTAAAATTCACATTTCACATCTTGCATTTAAGTAGTGTCTATTTATTGTTATAGGACGTTCTTCCCGCACTCCCTCTTATTTTGTGTTACATTGTTTGAAGTGGACAGCCTTGTTAAAAGTTTATAATGAGCAAAGAAATAAACAATTAAAGATGTCACTGTAACCTCTCAATTCCCAAACTATGACTGGAAAGTTATCAACATTCCTGCAAAGAACCACAGCGTAGTCTAAATGCAGCTTTTGTGCAACATTACATTGTTACTTCCCACCCCCCCCGCACAAAAGAAAAGGGGGTTGTTGTTGTTTTGGGTTTGGGATCTCTGTGTGTTCTTTGGCATTCAACTAATTGCTTTCTGGTTTGCAAAGGACTTTGATTGTGGGTTAAAGCTTGTTGTCTTGTACTTTTCTCATGGAGTGGAGAAAGAACCTTCTTTTACCTTCAAACCAAGAGCCAAGTTATACAGAAAGCTCGTTAACCTTCTGTTTACCCATTTACCCAGACAATTATTTCGCGCTTCTGAATGGAGGTCCCTGGGGCTCCTTCTGACTTCCCTACGTCATCCTGTATCTACTGGAGTGCAATTATCTTCTGCACTCAGGAAATTCGAAACCTGAGATCTCCCACTGAAAGAGTTGTATTAAAAGAAAAAAAAACCTCCTGCAAGGGAAATATTTTCTTCTGCTCAAGAGATGCAGTCTAAAAAAACACAGGAAGAAATGAGCGGTGGGGGGAGGAGAGGGAGGGAGTTGTGGACAGGGGGGGGGGGGCAAATTTTCCATTCTGTAATGCGTGTCATGCTAACTGTATTCTTTAAAATTAAACAGACAAACGTCTGAGTGACCTGGTCTTGGGGAG